TTAGTTTGTTTATTAGATGTATCACACACACACACACACACACAGTGAGTGAAATAGTATTAGTATTTACTGGATGACACAGTTTCGAACACAATTCATCACCAGTTGTAATCACACAACTTCAAAAATTGAGTTTTATAGTTTTCAAATCACGGAATATACACACTGGGTCATAGGAGTTATTAAGAAGACTGACAGTTGCAGCGAAGAAAATTTTCTTTTCGACGAAGTCATCATCTAGGCTGTGCATTCGTGTATTTATAACAAATGGATGGGAAAGTTCCAGAATAATATCCGGTCAAGGGTCAAATTAATAAAAATAAAAATTGGGAATTAGAATGTCATAATAAACAGGGGGACGGATAAAACTCAGACAAAGTAGCATCGTAATAACTAAGAAGATTGACATTGTGCAATTGGGGGTTAGAAATGTTGAAACAACAATAATAGACAGGATGTTTGGATAAAAAAACTAATGTGATGAATAATTGTTTATGCAATCAGGGATTAAATGTGTAGAAATAGTAAAATGACAAAATAAACACGAAGTTCGGGTATGAAAATATGGAAGTGTAAACAGGGATTAAGAAAAACTTGAAATAACATGAATAAACACGAAGTTTAGATAAGAAAGGCGTTGGGATGGTGATTACTAAAAAAAATTACCTGTTTATGATGGCCATGGCAGGGACAGGGGTTTAACGTATTTCTTTTGGATACATAGCGTGGGTTTAAGCTTTTGTATAGCTAGTGCCTCGGCTATGCCCAGATGTCTTGATTTTACTCCCTTTGATAGGTTTGATTGAATCTTGTAAATGATTTCGAAGGATTTTTCGAGTGGCGCTGAATGTCATGAATTCACCAGATGTTCTGTCACCGAACTATTTACCCGTTTTCGTTCTCCTTTTACTAGCCAGGCTGGATAGTGTTCAGAAGCGCGTTTTTTAAGTCGGCGCTTGGTACGGCCAACGTACTCAGCTCCACAAGAGCAAGTAAACTGGTATATGCACGTTGAGGTGGCACAATGCGACAGCTTGTCTTTCGCGTTCTGGCTGAACAGTTTCTTGCAGGAAAACGTCAGTCGTAGGCTAGCGGCGAAGTATGTCTTCCTCAGCGATTTCGAGAGGCGTCTGCGAAGGATTTCTGCTTCAATATCACCTTTGAATTCTAGATTAAGCAGAAGCATTTTCTTTGGGACGGATTGGACTTGTTCAGAAGTCTTATAGTTTTATAGTCTTTTATAGTTTTCTTTGTCCTCTCCTATTTGTCCTCGTAGGGGTAGTAGAATTTTCCAGATGTTCGACTGAATAGATGTTGAATCATTCCTATTACACGTATTCTCCTCTCAGTTGATTCGATAAACAAAGCTTCTGTTATCAAACACACATTAACAATAAGATATATGAATTTTTTCCTGAATATAATTTCGTACAAACACTGGAAGATATGCAAGTGATGAAAGGCAACAAGTCGACCTTTCATGGTCATCCCACATCTTATCAATTTCTAAGAAAATGTTTCGTCTTACCTTCTACATTAAAAAGTTAAAACAATCAGGTATCAGCCAACCTCTACTCCTGTATTTTACCTATTGTACTCTATTGCTCTTCATTAATCTTTACTGGGCTTCTCAAAAACGACTATATCATATTACGAAGGGTATTAAATGCTGTGAGTAGGGCTTGTGGTATGCCACTGCGTGAGCTTGCCAATACTATAGTCGAGAGACACATAAATACCTGTACAAAATGGGCAGAAGCTGTACTGTCAGACCCCCTGCATCTCCTTTATTCACAACTATCCTCTTGCATCTCATCAGATAGGACGAGAAGTC